GTCTCACCGGGGCCGTCAACACGAGACCTAGAGGGAGGGAAAGGAGACAACGGCCACGGGAGCAACCGCAACTCAATTGGCAGGAGGGGACAACCTCCACCGCCCTCACGGAGCCAACCGGACGCGGCAACAAGGACTTGCCAGGCCTCGACGACCTGGCCGGACCGAAATGGGTCCGGACAGTCCCTGTCACCAGCTGCAGCATGCCGACCAACGAAGCCTGCACCGCCCGCAGACCACCAACGCCCGCCACCACCACCAAGGAGCAACGCCGCCGCGCATCGAGCCACCGGCCTGCCCCAACCCAGATCGGGCCCAAAAGGGCCCAGATCTATGCCGGGTGGGCACCGCCAGCCGCCAGCGCCACCGCGCCGCCCGCGACCAATGGCTGCGTCGCCGTGTCAAGGGCACCCGTGGCCCACTGGATCGCCGCCTCTGAGCCACGCTGTCGTCGGACGAGCAGCACCTCCACCATCAGGGGGGTCGCGCCCCCCTACGCGCACGGGGGGTAAAGCCGTCCCGCCGCCGCCAGCGCTGCACGGGCAGGGTTCAGCGGAACACCGACGACGGCGGCAGAGGGGATCGACGGGGAGGAGGGCTGGGAGCGCGGGGGATCGGAGTCCGCTTGTCGACCGGGGGTGGGCAAGCGAGCAGACCAAAGGAAAAGGGGAAGGGGAAGGAAGGGCGGGGGCAAGGGAGCCCGGATCCGGTCCGCGCGCCGGCGGGGGCTGCCGGATCCCGCTAGAAACGAGCTGGCGAGGTGGCGGCGGCGAGGGTTTCGGGGAAGGGGGGGGGGCGAGGGGGGAGGGAGGGAGACGAACTATTCGTCCTTCGACACCTTTGGACTGAGAAGTAGCAGAGTCACACAAATTTGCTCAGTTATATATTGTTATTCTGGTGATGGGGTGCCGATTGAATATTTTTTATGAAGAAGGAGGTGGTCCAAGTCAGCCGGAACCTTTTGTTGTGTTGGCGCTCACTGAAATGCTTGACGCTCATAATCACTATGTGCTAATGTATAGAAGATTAGAAGTGTTCGCAAAAGGTTGCAGTCTGTTGATGCACCGAATCTTGCTATTCAACTTTATGGAGATGGAGCTGTTCATGGGAGTCGATATTCTGGTCCTACTATTTCAGAAGTTGTTGTTCTCATTGCGAGGATTTAACAGCTGAGTGTCACAAGTTTGGTAGCTCAGTTTTTTTAAAGTATTCTAAGAATACTGCAGTTTCTAAGATTACCATGGTTTTAATTACCATGAGGTGTTTGGCTGTACTGAATTATTTGCAAAACCATGGTATTATCTCTGTATAAAAAAAAACCAAGGACCTTTTTTTTAAACAGAGCTCGTGAAAGAAAGGGGTCATCGTTATCTTCTTCCTTGCTCCAAGCCGCTGCTGCCCCCTCCTTCGTTCTCCTGTTGCTGTCGCTCGGTGAGCTTGTTCTGCCGGATCTCGTTTCGTGTGGTCCACATGCAAGCTGCTGCCCGGAAGCCCTATATGTTGGCTGCTCGTCGGGTTGTTGTACACCGCCTCTCCATGCTGGCTGCTGGTCCTTGCCTCAGTGAAGCCCCTTTAGCCCTGCCACGCTAGCGTAGAGGAAATAGGCAAGTAAATCCTGCTGGACTCGAGCTTGCTACTCAAGCGTATGGATGCAAAGCTGATTTGCTGCTCTTCTTGCTCATGCGATTTTTGTCTACCCGTGATGGCCACAACACCCGAGTGTCCATGCCCAACTATATAATCAACTCTGATCAAGCAAACTATTGAGTGATTGCAACTAGCTAGGAACATGCGTGTTTGTAGCTGCTATCAACTGCCTAGCTAGTTAGCTAATTTACATTGCTGCATAAAGCACCAGCCAAACAGGTCACGGTATTCCCAATACGGCAAAATATTTTGATAGGTCAAAACTGTGGTATCTTGCACCTACAGGCTAAAATACCGTGGTTTTCCAATACTTCAGTTTTTGCAATACCTTGCTATCAAACACAGCCTAAGTCTCACAAGTTTGATGTTGTGGCACGGACGGTTTCTGGAGAATTACAGCATATATCGTATCTAAATCCATCGCTTATGCCTCTTCAGTATCTTTTGATTAGGCATTAGAGTATATTTTTATTCTATCTTTGTTCTTTCCTCTCTGCCATCAGACAATCTTACGATGAGTCAAAGTTACTGTCTGAATTTCTTCTTTTGCCGCAATTATATTGATGCAGACTAAATGCAGTCACAA